AAAACTGGCAAATTTTGTGATTTTTCTGAACCCATGGGACCACACTATTTCAGTCCCCTAGACCATAGACCACCCTAGTCCATACGGCCTCCCCTGTGATTCAGAATCTTGTAAAATGCCCCGTTTTAATAAAAAAAATCATTAAAAATAGCAACACACCTTGTTTTGATCCAAGTTTTGGCAAGCAACATCACAAGAGCTTGTAGATCCCCTCAGAGCTGGAATTTTACGATTTTGGGCTGATTTGTTCTAGGCGACACTGGGAGCATCGCTCAGCTCAGACTGAACCAAATCGGTTGATTTTTTGTAAGTAGCATCCCAACATCTCCAAAATCAGCCCAGAACTAGAATTTTGGGCAGATTTGGTCTTGGCGACGCTATCAGTGTCACCCGGCCCAAACTGACCCAAATCGGTTGATTTTTGGCAGGTAGCATTCCGACAACCCCGAAATCGACGCTCCTAGTGTCGCCTAGCTAGACTGACCCAAATCGGTTGATTTTTTGCATGTAGCATCCCAACGGCCCCAAAATCGATCCAAATAGGAATCTATCGATTTTGGACAGATTTGGTCTGGGTGACACTCCCAGTGTCACCCAACCTAGACAGACCCAAAACGGCAGTCCAGGCTTGAAAATCTTCTGGTTATGGTATGTTATCCATTCCAGATGATTTTTCAGATTATAAAAAGGTCTTTTCGGGATCATTTGAGGTTAGACTCTAAAGACTCTTGAAATCTGATTAGCTTGTGTGTGCCCAACTAAAACTGAGAGATTGTGAGACCTGAGAAACCTAGACCTAGGAAAAACCTTAGCTTTAGGTCACTTGCAGCCCTTAGATTAGGAGATCCATACAACCAAGCCAAAGCTTGGTAAAAAACATGAAGAGAAACAAAGAGGACGCACGGCGTAAAACTCCGCCGGTACTGATACAAACGAGGCCTCGCAGCTTTGGGAGCCTCAGGCCAATTGGCTCAGTCTGGTACATTTTTACTCTTTCCTGTGTTTCTTTTCATTTTGTTTATTTTACAGTAATTAAATTAGTTTTATGGTATTTCATATTGTATTTCATATTTCGGATCAATGTTGGCTCTACCACTGATCTGAGAGCAAATCTGCTCACTTTTGAGTAGATCTGGCTCATATCAGAATTTGATTGTTCCACTTTCTATCACTCTTTTAAAAAATCAATTTGTGGTATCAAGCTCTGAGGGATCTTCCTCTGATGATCTCTTATATATATATATATATATATATATATATATATATATATAGTACGTAAATACGTACTACGACCTATACGTACTACGTAGTTAGTACGAGGTACGTAGGTTACGTACGTCGTAGTACGTACGTAACGTACGT